CTGCCCAGGGAGGTGGTGGAAGTGTTCAAAACTTGGAAGTGTTCAAAAACTGTGTAGACATGGCACTTTGGGACATGGTTTAGTGGGCATGGTGGTGTTGGGTTGACCGTTGGACTTGCTGATCTTCAAGGTCTTTCACAACCGTAATGATTCCGTGATCTGTTTTGACTTACAACATTCACTGTTTCGTCGCATCTTTTCACCATGAAGACTTGAAACCTTTGCTTTAATTGTGTTGGTTCCTAGATTCCTTGTACATTATATTCATTCTCTTTCTTCTTTTTTTTTTACATACTCACTGAAGAGCTGTAGCACAAAAGAACCCTTCGGTCCAGTACTATGCAGGTGTGGGAGTTAATGCTTATGTCTCTGTGCACCTCTCCTTCCTGCCTGAGGCAGAGAGACGTAACACACGAGCTGTGGCTTGTACTTTCTGCCCGGAGTTTGAGCATCACGTAGAGTTTCCTTGTAACCTCATCATTCAGAAAAGTAGCGGAGAAGCCTCTTGCCTGGGGGAACTCTTGCAGTCTGCCAATATTGTCTTCTCTATCTACCATCAGAGCACCAAGTCAGGTAAGGAGGACAAGTGATTACAATGTCTGAATGCTGTTCCAGAATGATGCAGTTTAGTTTAGAAGAGAGACTATTCTGTGCAGTTGCTATTAGATGTAATTACCTAAACTGTCTTTGGAGAAGGCTTTGGAGATCTGTTCCTCTTGTGCAAAGAGTTGAGGTTTCTAGGACTCCGGGTGATCAAGATTAAATTAATTTTTTTTAGATTAATTTAATTAATCTAAGATTAGATTAATTTTTTAAATTAAAAGCTAATGCAATTAACAGTAATAGTGCTTGAATCTTGGGGCACCCTGCCTTTGTATGTGCATACCCTGTTGCCTCCACTTCATGAGGGGTAATGGAGGTTCAGAGGAATGATAGCTTCAAATCCTCCAGCCATCCTGTGGCAGATAGGCAGGATTCTTTTACAATATAACAACATGTTGTAGAATTATTTTATAAATAAAATCTACCTGAAGATGACATTGTTTTTTACTCCTGGGGGAGAAGAGTCAAGAGTATCCAAATTCAATCAAGCTCCAAATTCAGTGGTGGTAGACCATCTGTCCTGTCATGAATGTGCACTGGCAATGCCTACAGTTTGTTCTCACCCCTGTTTGTCATGGATTTTGGCCTGGTATGTACTGGGCCACTTGTTTTGATTTTGTCTTTTTTTTATGGGTTAAAAGTGTTTTCAGTATGACAGCTGAGCTGTTTGCTGTCAAGGCAATACAGCTTGCTTTCAAAGCAGATACTTTCTGAATCACTTTTAAATCTTGCGTTCCAGTTTGGTGTATTTGCAAAATGATTTATTTTCCAGCTCCTGAGACACTGGCAGCTCGAACATCAAGAGATTATCTTCTTGGGACAGTCACAGTTCCAACCAGAGACCTGCTGAGAAAAAGATCAGGTAATACAGCAGTGTTACACTGCTGCCATTCTGGGTAAATGCTGTAGTAATTGCTTAAAACAATTTTCATTCCCATTTTTGGGGGTTTTGTTTTGTTACTTTACAACAAAGTTCTCTCAGGCATTGCACATGCCTTCATTAAAAGTCCTGTATTAGAAAACTTACGTAAGGGTTGTTGTTTGAAGGTCATTTTTCAGGGTGTAGGATGTATAGTAGCCAAACGAATATTAACCTCTTTATTTTACTCGGTGCCAATTATTTTTTACCTTAAGATGGAAAGTCCAAGAGTAGTAGTGTTTGGTGGAGGACCAATGACTGCTTTTGAGATGTCAAAGCTGGAAACAAAGGCTTGGATAGGTTAGAAAGCTGTTGGATTAGCTTTTTTTAAACTAAATGTAAAATATCCCCTCTACCTAGTGTTAGTTTGTGATGATAATATCTCGTAATAATGTTTTCGTTATGCTCTTGGTTATTTCTGCTTTAATCTCAGTATACTGCTAATTTTCTCCGATGTGAAGTTTTGGGTTTAGTTTTAATGGGAAGAGAGGAGAAAAAAACTGAGAATGCCTAATTTTATAATTGGAGGTTCATGGGATATAGTTTTGTTGTAAAATGAGTGTCATTAATAAAATGGAAAGTAAAATGCCTTTGGGATCAGAACTACGGGTGAGATTTTCTGAGGTCTAACAATTTGCTGCTTTTTCAGGTTAGAAATCTTTGACAAATTCCAAACTTTCACAAGAAATAAACACTTCAAGTGCTGGTCCTCGACTAATGACCAGAGCGTGGAAAATTCTTTACTGATGTTTTTAAAAGGTAGAATAAGTCTAATTACTATTTTTTTCTCCTGAAGGTATTACAGGCTGGTACCCAGTTACCCTGTCCGAAGATCTAATGCCTTCACACTGCACAAACATCATGCAGGCCATTGTGGGAGGACTGGAACTTTCTGTTACCTTTGCTCATCAGGATGACAGAGAGCGTGTTTTGGAGGCCGCTAAGCTCTTAGGATGGAATAGTGAGGAGAGCCCTGAAGACAGCATGGATGATAGCGACGAGTGGGAGCGGAGTGCCAGTCCAGCGACTGTGATCATCTCAATGCCAAGAGTGTGGCTGCCAGTCCACTGTGTGCTGCTTGCAGGTCAAACACACCTAAATAACAGCACTTATTGCTACCTCAGGTATAAGCTATATAATCAGGAAGCCACGTGGACTTTGCTTCAGAGGCCAAAATTGAGTGACGACGCAAAGAACGTTACAGTGAACTTTAAGAAACCAAACAAGGTGACTCTCAGAAGGAGCCAAGGACTGCTCTGGTTCTTCAGAGAGGAGAAATTAGAAATCCAGGTGTGGTGGGCATATGGTAAAGAAAATGATGTGGAAAGACCACTTGATACAGATCGTCTTATTGGATCTGCCTATGTCGACCTTGCATCATTAGCAGAGAGGTCAAGGACAACACTAAGCGTTAGTGGTAAGTTCCTAAAGAACACTATCGTGTTTCATTCCTCTTTATTGATGTTTTAGTTTGGTTACTTCTCTAGCCACTTTAAGCAAAATATGTACAGCTTTGTTTTGTCCCATATGCAACACGCACTCAACTCTTCCTTTCACTGAAGATAAACAAGGGTAGAGTACTTGCTTCTCTGAATTCAAAACGTAGCAAGTTTAAATGGGTGAAAAATTGGCAGGAATGATCACTAATAGGAAGAGCAATTAGCCTACCTGTATTGATGAAGGATGTTTCTGCAAAATTATGGATTGGGCATCGTATTAGAGTGAGGAGTAAGAATAATGTCTCGCCAGGAGGCTGAGTGCCTGCAGTTGGAGCAAATGACTAAACACTGAGGAGATCGTGGACACTTCGGCTTTATTCGGTTACTTAAGCTTCTGTCATCTACATGGTATCCATCAGCCACCAGCTTGCAGGTAGATTGGTGGACAGGTCATTGGCTCTTCTTTTGAGTGTGCTCAGGGAAGGGAGAAAGAACAAGAGTTAAAACAAATTTTGGTGAGGTGTATATGTTGTATTCTCCATGTATGTATATAAAATTATTTCTGGGACTATTCCCAGGACTCTCAGGAAGTTGATGTGCTTTAAAATAGTAATCTCAGCTGCCAGTGGAAGAATGAAGGTGTACCCAATTTAGGGGATTGGTCACCTGTTAAAAACAGGTTCAAAACCTTTGCAAGCTCTACCAGCACACTGGGTGATACCTTGCGTAGAAATTACATTGAAAAGCAAAACTAATTCTGCTGGTCTGATGTGAGTTATTTACCGTAACGAACTGTGCCAGCTGTTTTCCAAGATCCTAGTTTTTCTTTGGCTTGTTTAACTGGTTGTTTGTGAATTCTCTTACAGGGGTTTATCCATTGTTCAGAAGCAATGCTGCAAACCTAGCAGGAGCTGCTGTACGTGTTCACATCGTCCTTTCTTCTAGTTCTGCTGCTCTGCCCAGCAGGCTTCGCTGTGCTGAGGAATACAGCAACAGTGAAGATGAAGGCACAGAGAAAGCCCCTGATCTGAGCCAACGGGTCTCTGAAAATCAGACTCAGAAACTGGATTTCGTAAGTTCAGAAATCACTAATGGCAAACCACAAGAAGAAGACGTGGTATTTCTGGAAAACACAGTTGCTGTCAGTATCCTTGTGGAAAGAGCAATGCATCTGAGTTTAAAAGGTAACATCACCACCAGCCCTGTTTTTTCTGTCTTTTTTTTCTTTTTTCTTTTTCTTTTCTTTCCCCTGGGATCTGTTCGTAACAGGTACTGCATGGAGCAATTTAAAAACAAATCCTCAAACTCACTCCGGCACAGTGAATGGATGCAATGGGTTTTGAACTTGGCTTCGTAGTGTTGCAACCCCGAGAGCATTGCATCATTGTATAAGTACAGGGGAAGGAGGAGGTTAAACTATTCAGCCTATCTCTATTAATAAAATCCAAAATATAAATAATGTAATGTTCACTGTTACAGATGACAGCTGAATTCAGAAGTTAAGCATTATCTGAAGAACATAACCCCAAGACGCTCATATCTCAAAGACTCTTGCAAATTTGCATTTTTAGCATATAATCAATTTGTAAAGCTGGCTTACTCCTGCTATCTGGAGGCTGCCAGACACAGCAGCGCAGAAGGGCAGTGTAAGGGCAGAACAGTTTGAGCTCACCCAGGCTTGACACACTGCTTCCCGCTCTGTTGAATGGGAATTACAGTTCAGTGGCTAGTCACTATGCTGAGGGTCACCAAAGAACTGCTTTTTGCTTTTAAATTGATGCTAAGTGTATTAAAATATTCCTTCCTAGCAGGTGGTGTTTGGTTCTTGATGCACAGCAATGTAACGCGCTTGGTGAATTTGCAGGTTTTTGGAGCCTTTTGTTTTTCCATCAGTTTGCAGTCTGTGAATGAATCTCTCTGTTAAAGATGAGTTAAACCCTTTAAAACACATCAAGTGCCCTACCCTTCACCTTGGGCACCCTCTAGCACTGCATGACTTGGTCACTGTGTTTGCTCAGCACTTGGAGTGGTCTGATCTTGTTTAGGCCATTCCATGCTACCTAAATGCAAATAGGAATAAGGAACTGACCCGAGGTGAGTCTACTGGAAACATCTCTGTTAAGATCAATTGTTTCACAGTCCAGGTGATGTGCCAGAAGGGAACACTTGGTGTTTTATGGCATGGTAACACAGCTAAAAGAGTCAAATATAAGCGTGATTTAAGCGTAAGTAGTTCCGATACGTACTGAGCCCTACAGATGGCTTTTTTAATAATGATTCTATCATCTTCTGGAATTCATAGCCTTTGGAAACCTGTTGCGACATTGTTTGCTACTGCAAAGTTGTTGATGGGATAAAAGGAGATTTCTTTTGATGGTGTACACTATTGCGATATTTCCATCTTAAACAACTTACTGTTTTAGGGGCTTTTTAGAAGTAGCTAACTGAGAGGCAACTGATACACTGAAACATGGTTTCAAGAGGAATTTTCATTCTTCATGACAACAATTTCATTATTGTGTTACAGACAAAAAAGCTGGAATACATTTCCAGTCCAGTATGTTATGGATGATAAAATTCCCACAATTTTGGAAGAATTACTTAAGATACCAAATTTTCAGAAACTGAGTGAAGATACAAAATGTTTCCCCAAGCCTCTTCATATTTCTCGTGGTCTAAAGTCAATTTTCCTGTTTTCTTTTTCTTCATCTTCCAAATAATATAAAGAAAAGAAATAGCCTAAATTTCATAATGTTGAAAAGGAATGAAATTAATACTATAAAAATGCAGAAGTTCAAGCCAACAAGTCATTTCTCTAATTTAGTTCTAACTGTTTTGAAGGCTGTTTCGAACAATATTAGAACAGAATTTTCCATGCCTCTTTTAAGGACTGAAATCACTTTAATCAGCAGTTGTTAACCTCTTTCTGCCATGTTTTTCATCTTTTTCTGTACAGTGCTTTGGAGAATAGGTGCCTGTTAATTCTCTCCTGTGGTAGCCATCAGCACGTTATGCTGCCAGTCCGGATCATGTCACCGAGCAGGTGCTCTAGACTTAGAGCTGTGTTTTACCACCCACTTCCTGAGCCATCAGGTCACACACCTCGATTCCTTCTCTCACCCCATCCTTGAAATATTGCTTTTATAAAGCAGTATAGAACTAACGTTTCTAAGCATAACTTCTTTGCAAGGTTGAGGCATTGGGGTTTGCTAGGCTAAATGAGGCTCTGTAAAACTCCTTTGATTATGCCTGAGCTTTCTTATTAGAGCCAAGAATTGTTTCTATTATAGCCTTTTCTTTTCCTAGAAGAAAAGCAAGCTAACACTTCAGAAGTGCTGGTTTTGCCTCTGACTACAAAGATGGATTTTAGGTCTGCCTTCACATGCAGGAGATGGTGAGCTAGTCTGGACAGGTCTTGCTCATTTCTCTAAGCTGAGCTCAAGTTGCCCATGTCTGTGTTTAAATTGTCGTATCTAGCATCTTATCAAACTGTGAAGACCTGTGTGGCATGTTTTAACTGAAGTCATTGTGGATATTGTAAAAAAAAGATAGTCTTGTTCTCAAGCAAATCCTCATAGTCGAGGCATAAGTGGGCCCATAAGTGTAACCCAGTAAGCTACTATAAGTCAGTCACATTTGATCATATTTTCACAGAGAATCAGACTTCAAGAGAAGAGAGAATTATTTTTGGTTAAATCAGATTCAGTTTTGATCATTCTGGCCAGATAGGTCTTGGAAGAGTCCAAAGCCACATGCCGAGTCCTTGGAAAGCAGAAAGGAGGAAACAACCTGTAATAACTGAGCAAAGTTGGTTGCAAAGTCTGATCTTGTTTCCCTTTGACTCAGTCCATTTCTCCTGCCAGATTTTGCCAGCTACAAATTCACCATCTGAACAGCTCCATAAGCAGTAAAATGCTCCTACAGCTTTACAAGCCCTGATACGCTGCAGCAAACTAATCTCACTAACGTGAACGTGACTAAAAGAGTCCAAGCCTGGAGGAAGGGTCACATACAGAAGGGAAGAGGCCCTAAGCATCTCTCCTCCTTTTTGGGCTATAATTCAGTGCAAGTGATTGTATAATTTCTGCAGTTTTCATTCAACAATCTGTAATCCGTAACATCCAGCAGCGTCTGAGGAACATCTAGCTCCATCCCTTAATTTGACCTTGCGTCCCTCTGATGATAAACTATCTGCCTCTAAGTGCAAACATACCCAATTAAGTCAGACTAGTTAATTCGTTACCTGTTTCCTCACAGACCTTTTCCCAGGTTATTTCAGAACAAATTAAGGAGAAAATACTTATGGTTCCGGCCCTGAACTACGTTTCCACAAGGAGTCTTGTAAAGGTTTCACTAGTGCTTTGCAGAGCAAATGCCATCCTGGCTGCTTAGCCTGGCAACCACAAAGGTCTAGTTTGTGCATAGATTAAAAATGGTATTTCCTGAAGCAACTTAAAAACAATTTCAGCAAAGCCTACCTGCCGCCCCATGCATAGCTCCCCAGACTAGGACATGAAGGCAATTGATTTTTCCATCCTGAACTTTGATGTAAACTTTGATGTTTTAGCCAAACTGCTAAGGCCTCATCGACATGAGACTTTCTTCTCTCAGCTGGTGCAGTAGCAGGGCTGGTGGGAGCACATGTGCAGTTAATAATCACCAGTATTTTACTTTCCATATACTCTACCCCTGCTCAAAGCATGTACCGTGGGAAAATACAGGGAACTGTGACGGTTGATCTGTAACACAACTCCCACTTCTGCAATGGACACAAAATAAATTTGTATATACTGCTTTTTCCTCTGTATTTAAATCTTCGTAACAGATGAGAGTGGTACTTGTTTCTGCCTTGCAGGGATGTGAAGTTTCTCTATTTCACTCTTTTTGAGATGAACTAATAGAGGCTATAAAAAAGCTTATTAATCTCTGGGTATCATTAACACCCGCTGTGCGTTTTCTTATTCAGTCAACACAAGCGAGCTTCCTCTCAGCAATCCAGCTGCTAAGTCAAACTGCCTTTTGTGATGCCAGATATTTTCTATGTTTGCAGCTAGGATTGCTAAACTCTGTGGTCCAGCATGGAGGGTAGATCAAGCGTCCTGGGGACCTGGGTTTTATTCCTAGCTTTGCCTGTGGCTTCTCAGATGATCTTGGGCAGATGGTTTTTCCATTTCCCCCTTGAATACTCCATTTTCTGCTCTGTAAAAGGTTCATGTAATATTTGCTCCCATTGTAAATATAAAGTATTTTCAGCTCCAAAGTATTTTCAGTGCCAATGAAAAGGAGTAGTTCCTAGACGGTGGATTTCTTTGTCAGTTGTCTGTTTTAAATTGCTGAACTGCCTTTAGATTTATTTTTCTGAAATTATTAATAACAAATCTGCATTTAATTCTGTGTAATTTTAGGGAGTCCTTTGACAGAACGTGAAGTAAAAGCACCCAGTAGCTGTGTCTCATTTGCTGTTGCTGGTGAAGATGCTCCGATAACCACTTCAGTAATAGAAAATACAGACTCACCGGTCTGGGACTTTCAGCAACAAGCAAGGTAAGCGAGGTGGACTCGCACAGACACGCTTTGGATCTGACAGCCAGGCTAGGTGTGAAAAGGACATACCCACTTGGGAAGGGGTGCTTTTCTACTTACCAAGCCTATACTCTCAGCTAAAAATGCTTGTTCCCATGTGTTACAGTCACCATGTACATATATTAAGCAAAAAATCATTTGAGGAGGCTTGGCCTTAGAGCTAATATGAGGAGAGGCAGTTAGACCTGCACTGAGGCTTGGCTGCATTGTATTTTGGCTTAAGACCTTGGGTGAGTCAGTCTTATTTCCACTCACCTGTAGTTTCCCCATCTAGAAGAAGGGGCTGCTAATTGCTAAAGGACTCATGTCGAAGTAAAGTAAGACTTGATGGAATTTATTGGCTTTTTCTACATGTTTTATTTTGTTTCATGCTTAGAAATTATGCCCTGGTTCAGGACCAGAGCTGTAAGTTTGGATTCACCTACTGTAACTTTATATATCTGCAGGTTAAGTGTCTAACTCAGAGCTGTTCAGCCTTGGCTTCCTCTGCAGTCACTGGAGAGACGCAGGCACCTCCAGACAGTGAGTCACTTGACCTGTGTTAGAGACCCAACGTAGGACAAAATTTGCCTAAGGATGCCTATTTCTCTCCAGTGACTGCCAAAATTCTGGAGAGACATAGCTCAGACTTAGATATCTGAGCCTAAATGAGAGCAGATGAATCGATCACTCTAAGGAACCTCAGCAGATCAAGTCATACATGCAGTAGTAAACCTGTCTCGCAGTTTTGTAGTTTCCCCAGTGTTTCTGTATTAATTCCAAAGCAGTAGCCAAAAGCATTTTCTAAACTAGGTGGAACAAGTCTGTTACAGGCAACAAGAAAGCGTACTGAATTTCTTCTGTCCATCATGAAATGCATGCAAGTATATACCAGTGCCTGCACAGGAGGGGGATTTTCTGCCAGCCTGCTGAGTTGGGTTTTCAGCTTTAGGGAATTTGTAATACGAAGGTGAAATCGTTGAAAAACTGATAACTGAAGTTTTAAAGTTTTGTTTTGGAGGTTGCTTATGCTCAGAGTTATATCTGAATTGCTTCAAGCAACTTAAAAGCTCTTCTACATGTGGCACTTCAGTTTTCAATTGTTTTTTTTCCCCAGAAATCAACTTCCAACATTAGAGCTTTCAACCATAACCCCAGTGCTTTGCTGTCACTGTACTACTGAGTCATGAGATAAACTGTATTTCCATTTCTTCATGGTTTTATTGCCCTATCTTTTAAATTTACTACAAGAGCAAGGACAGGAAGATATTTCTTGAATAAGCAAAAGGCCAAACCATGTAAAGATAGTTATGCTTTTGAGGGCTCAATTTGGGTGTTTGTTGTGTTACCCCCCGCCCCCTTCCAGAAAGAAACTGATTTGTCTGGATAGATACAATAGCACTGAAACTTCATAGGCATTTTCCTGTACTTGTTCTTTTTTCTACTTTGCATAAAATATTATGATTTTTGTTCTTAACAGGTTATCCAAAGAGCTTTTGCTGGATCCACAGCAAACCTTGGTCTTCAAAGTCTGGCATAAAGCAGGTAAGGCTTGTAGTGCAGTATTGCGAGGAGTGTCTTTTCTGCCTCCCTTTCCTTGGGTGACTTGTGTTTAATACAAGCAAAGTAAATTCTATTAAGTAAATTGGCGAGTGGAATTGTAAAGACATTTTTTACCTTGCACTAGAAGAATGCTAGAGATAAATGCCCATTGATTTCCTGCCCCTTAGCATTTTCCTTTTCCCCATTAATCATCTGGCAAGGTTTGCTTCATTTATATTAGTTCCATTTTTAATTTGACAGTATTTTAGAAGCTGGATTTTCCTAGTGGAGGAAGTTCTTTACTGTGTCTTTCACATGCTGTTGGTTGTCCCTGCAGTTGGTTGAAGTGTGGCCAGCCAGTTGTCATCAAATACTTTTCTAGTGGCATGGATATTTTCACACAGACACAGAATCACTAGGTTGGAAAGGACCTT